TGTCTATGCGACTGGGTAAGTGTCTGAAGGATAAATCTCGGGATGGCCTCACCCTCAATTATGGGGTCGTACCCCTCTGCAAAGTAGCCTTGATTAAACTGAATAGTCAAAGCTGACTTCCCGACACCTAGCAAAGAACCGAGTGAGCATACTCGCATAGAATTCTGCTTGAATGTAGACTAACCTCCTCCCCCAACAACAACTAGCTTGTACTCCCTCAGAAACTCTGCCTGTGCCAACCAAGATGAGTGCCAGGAACAGGGCGAGAGGTACAACGAAGAACTTACTCTGCCAACCATGTCAATGAGAACGAATGGATCAAGAAAGTGAAGAATGGTTCTGAGAGCACAGGCGATGCTAGGCGATGACAGCGGAGATAACAAATATGCACCAACAACCATTGTAGAGTGTTTCCTGGTAAAAGCCTCCATAGACGCGTATTTGTATAGCTATAGGTTCTTAAACAACTTGTTTTGTATGTCGTGGTCGAGGGCATAGACGGGCTGGGAGGGGTTGTCGATGTGTGTTGCGCCTATGAAGTTAAACCTACGATGCCAGTTAGTTGATGATGGGTGAAATAAGGAGAAGCAGGCGTACTTGATGTATTATCGTGTGTCATAACGTCGGGCGAATCATGACACAGTCCCCTGCCTGAACTGCGTTTCGTTCTGGGAGGCCTACGGCGGCGTACTTTCTTACTACTTTTTCACTGATGGTTCGAGGGATACGGGCAGGGCATATGTCATTGGAAGAAAGGTCCCCAAACGATCTACTCGAGTGGTAATAACGGATACAATGTGCGTTGCTGCCGACGAAGTCACGAAATACCGGATGGGCAAGATCGTGGAGAGATGTGTGAGGCACGTGACCGTGATTGCATATAAATATAATTATTCGTAGAATCGACACCCAAACTATAAGTTTTGTGCAAATGAATGTCACTTTGTTTCCATGTCAAGATGCCCAAGGTTGACATCAAGAAATGTCAAACGAATGGATTGTAACCTAATCTACTTTTGCACATACATAACTTGCGAAATTCCTGCCAATGGTAAATATTTTCCTTTGAACCGTTCCAAGTAACCGAGAAATAAGAAATGAAAGATGAAAGAGAGATACAGCGTAGGGTGCATTTACAACAGAATGCGGTGTCAAAAAAAAATAGGAGCGAAAGGATTAGAGAACGACGCAGCCCGCGCCGCAACTGAAAGACCCTTGGCCTTGTATATATCGTCCTGTCGGTCCACGGCCGTTACCAGCGACGACGGAACGACCTGTTTGCTGCTCCTATGGAAAGAAACGAGATGGCATTATATAAGGAGGAGATGATGGAAAAGCGCCCACCTTTTTATACTTGCGAATGTCCCGAACGAGATGATTGAAAGCCTCGTCGACATTGATCCGTTGCTTGGCCGACGTTTCGATAAATTTGCACCCAAAGTGCTTTGCTAGATCACGTCCCTCTATGAATTGCTTTAGTATCTGTGGAACGGGATACGAAGAAAACAATAGACCATCCATGCCAACCTGTCGTTCATATTCCAAGTCGCATTTATTCGCCACGATGATGACAGGGAATGAATCTTGGTCCTTCACTCGAAGAATTTGTTGATAGAAAGTCCTAATTTCCTCAAAGGAGTTGCGAGACGTGATGGAGTACACGAGAAGAAACCCCTCGCCAATTTTTATGAATAGGTCTCGAAAGGCACTGTAGGACAATGAAGCTAGTGAGTGACGCGTTCCAAAAATTGTTGAATGATGAAAAGGGCTCATGATTAGTGAATTAGCAATAACATTGCGAAACACGATGAAGTGAAGTGAAAGAATTTACAGGGAGCCACCAAGAAAACTAACACCTCAAATCCTCCCCCACCAGGGGCTTCCTCAACTTCAAGCAGGGCAATTTCATCGTCGATAATGCATTGTTTTCGGTACGTTTCTATGCAACGGGGTAAGTGTCTGAAGGATAGATCTCGGGATGGTCTCGCCCACCCACAATCGCGGGTTCGTATTCTGCTACAAAGGCAGCTTGAATAAACTGGATAGTCAAAGCTGACTTCCCAACACCTAGCACAGAGTTGAATGAGCGTTTCGCATAGATTTTTGCTTCAATACGGACTAACGTCTTCCCCCAACAACAACTAGCTTGTGCTCCCTCAGAAACCGTGCCTTTGCCTATGAAAATGAGTGCCAGAAACACGGCGAGAAGTACAACGGAAACTTACTCTGCCAGCCATATGAGCAGGAGGGATGGATCAAGAACTTAGTGAAGAAGAACTCAAGAAGAACTTCGAACAACATCTGGAACAGCGTTTTGGCCGGGTAATTTCGTTGTAATTATGTAGTCGTACATAAGTTCTTGAATTTATCTAGAGCTACCTAGGTGTAGTAGTCTTGGGTAGACCTGTAGCTACCTGTAGATTCATACTCGCCATAGAATATCAGGCTTGGCGGATGATTTGTACCTTGAATGATGCGAATGGCGTTATCCAGTGACAAAAACAGGCTGTGGGACACTGATGGCTGACCGCGCTTCTCCGCGCTTTTTACAATCGAGGCATTCTCCAAGTCCTTTTACCTTCTTCTCTCCTTCACAAACACTCAAAGGTCAGCCGTTGATAGGCCTTGCCCCCAATCACCATGCACATTCCCACTGGTAAGCTCCACTATGCATGCAACACCACCTGTATAATGCTAACGTGGACAGTCTATGGACAGCAAGCAGGTCCTTAGTCGTTTGCTCCCCACATTCCCTCTGGTGAGCCAACCAACACCTTGTTGCATAAACCTTACTAATGGCACATTAGGTACAGTAGTTTCTATGGACCAACAAAACCACGGCAGTAAGCTTCACCATTTCTTCTGTTTGTTGAGTGTGTGCTAACGTGTTTACACTCAACAGCGTTGCTATCACAGTTTGGTTCAAGTTTCAGTAGGGCATCACAACTATTTGCGCGATGCTGGGGAATGTCAACGATCACACGGTGCTGGGGTGCCATCTTTTTGACTGCACATCAACGTCATCCCCTGCTCCTTCCAGTGTGCAGTGGCCGACACACTTTGGATGTTTATATGGATACTTGTAGTCTACATTTACGTTGGCATGTACAGTAGCACTGCTGCAATATATTTTTCGGCATTTTTGGCCTGACACTGGAAAGCTCCTTGATCATGTGATAGATCAGATGTGAATCGCTGTTGAGATTTGGTTGATCGGTAGGCCGCGTAGAGCCTGGTAGACCGGCTAGGAACTGTCTACCCGAACTACCGTAAAAAGGCGAAATTACAGTGCTTTACATAGGAGGAGGCTATCAACGGGCCTACCGATCACTATACGTCTACATAGGTCTATGTAGACAATGTTCTGTTTCCAGATGAATGTGTGAGGCACGTGTCCATTATTGGCCGATGGTTTGCCACAGAATCAATGTCCTCCCAACAGTGAATATTTTCATTCCAAGTAACCGAGAAATAAGGAAAAAAGATGGGAGAGAGATACAACATTGCGTTTACAACAGAATGCGGCGACAAAAAGAAAAAAGAGTGTTGTGAATTGCAAAAGGATCAGAGAACGACACAGCCCGCGCCGCAACTGGGAGACCCTCATTCTTTTGTATATCCTCCTGTCGGACCACCGCCGTTGCCAGCAACGGCGGGACGACCTGTTTGCAGCTCCTATGCAAAGAAACGAACCTGAGTTAAATCAGCAGGATATGAGGAGAAAGCACCCACCTTTTTGTACTTGCGAATGTCCCGAACAAGATGATGGAAAGCCTCGTCGACATTAATCCGTTGCTTGGCTGACGTTTCAATGAATTTGCACCCAAAGTGCTTCGCTAGATCACGACCCTCTGCAAATCACTTGAGCATCTGTGGAATGGGATACGAAGAAAACAATAGACCATCCACACCGACCTGTCGTTCATACTCCAGATCAAATTTATTCGCAATGACGATGACAGGGAATGAATCTTGGTCCTTCACTCGAAGAATTTGTTTATGGAAAGTTCTGATTTCCTCGAAAGAGTTGCGAGAGGTTATGGAGTACACGAGAAGGAAACCCTCGCCGGTTCTTATAAAGTACTCCCGGAAAGCACTGTGGGACAATTAAGCTGGTGAGTGAAGTGTTTCGATATTTCTTGAATAAACAAAAGGGCTCATTATTCGTGAATCAGCAATGACATTGCGAAACGGGATGAAGAGACGTGAAAGAATTTACGGGAAAAGACCAACACGTGCCCATATTCTTCCTGACTAGGAGTTTCTAGAATGTCAAGCAAGGCAATTTCATCGTCGATAACACATTGTTTTCAGTACGTGTCTATGCAACGGGGTAAGTGTCTGAAGGATAAATCTCGGGATGGTCTCACCCTCAATCGTGGGGTCGTACCCATTTTCTGCAAAGTAGCCTTGATTAAACTGAATAGTCAGAGCTGACTTCCCGACACCTAGCACGGAGCTGAGTGAATGTTTCGGATAGTATTCTGCTTGAATGTAGACTAACTTCTTCCCCCAGCAACAGTTAGCTGGTACTCCCTCAGAAACCGTGCCTGTGCCTACCAAGATCAGTACCAGAAACACGGCGAAAGTACAACGGAGACTTACTGTGCCAGCCATATGAGTGGGTGGGATTAATCAAGAAAGAGCATGGTTCTGACAGGGCCAGTCGAGAAATGTGTGATGGCACGTGACTGTTATTGGTTTCGACATAGATTGTTTGCCAATGTTTGCCCAACTTGATAATGACGAGCAAGCATTTGCGCCTAGTGTTGCCGTCAAAGCGAAGTGAGTTTGAGGTCACTTTGATTCGATTCGGAAATGACACCACTTCGAGGCAGTTCGAGCTATCGAAGTGAGTCGAAGTCAATTCGTGATGGCCATCAAAAACCGCCAGAAATGGAAGGTTGCCGCACGTGAGGTGAGTTTAGTGTCGCGTCCTCCATCGCGTCTCCTACCTACCTCTTTCCCCTCCCTCCATCCTTACTTTCCACTTCCCATCAAATAATCGTACCACATGACTACGTATATTCCTGAATTATAGGCACAATTTTTTTAAATTTCTAAACCATATGATCTTTTTTCTCCTTCCCAATGAATATAAAAGCGGCACATAGTTGCAAATGCAATATAGCTGTCCAATCCCTCATTTTCATCCATTATGGATTTACCAGCTTTGTATTCCTCAGGCTGGGAGGCACCTAGTCATGTTCATATGCCTCTTTCTACTCATTCCCGCCACCCATCTTGGAACAGTCACTCGCTGCTGGAGCTAGACCCCTTTGTTCAAAACCCACTTCAAGCCAACAAATCCTATCCCACTAACAACTTGTTTTCATCGTCCTCAGACCATCAGACTTCTACACCAATCTATTATAACACTTTCCATGGCCAATATTCTAATCCCCACCCATTTAATGGAATCCCGATGCATAAGCTTTTTTCATCCCACAGCATACATGACACCCTCTTTGCTACCCCTACAAAATACTCGTTTGACTGTTCTTAATGCTCCAGAGCCCACTTCTTCCACCGCTCGTGCTCAAAACAAGTGTTCTGCACCAACAAACTCTGGCACAGCCGCGCGTGCGTGCAAGAAGCGCAAGACGAATATGATGACCCCGCTCATGAACTGATACAGAACTCAGAAGATGACAGTACTTCGGATATATAGCACTTTTGATTGTGTTCTGTAGTCTAGATACTTGTGTGGCTGAGGCTTGAGGATCCAGTGATCTGATTGGCTGATCAACTTCCAGTGATGTCTGACTTCGCTTCGATTTGATTCGACAGCATGAAGTAAGTTGAAGTCAGCACACTTCCCCACTTCGATTTGATTTGATTCACTTCGCGGCAACACTATTTGTGCCATTTCCTTCATTAATGCTCTCTGTCCCCAATGATACTTGTATATCAGATTTGTTCCCTCTCCTGACATGCAAATATCCATCTCTACCATCGTCACTTCAATCGTCCCTGTCGTTCTCTACACATGCAGGCCATGTCCCTCCGCCATCCACACTCATCCACTCCCTCAACCCCACCTCAAATCTTGTCACCCTTCACCTTACTCCCTCTCTTCTTGGCAGAAAGGGAGGCTTTGGGAGTCAGTTGTGTGCTGCTGGTGGGCGGATGAGCAGTCAGAAGACCAGCAACAATGACTTGTGTAGGGATCTTACAGGAAGAAGGCTGAGTACCATCAAAGAGGCCAAAAAGTGCGTCTTTTAGTATCATCATCTTTTTACGATCTCTAATTGTCGTTATAGGCTCGCAGAATACCTGGAAACAGAGCCAGAGTGCCTTGTAGCAAAGGCGGAAGCTCAGAGGGCCAAACTCGAAGCACTCGAGTGGAAGCTTGGCATTGAACCTTCCTCTTCCTCAAGCAAACTGGGAGATCCAAACACCCCTCCTCCAACACTGGTGGGAAAGAAATGTCATTTTGACGATACTGAGTATCTGGAACAGAGCAGGGAACTGTCTGAAGGGGTTATCGCAAGCATACATGTATCCGTGACATTCCACAATGTTTTATCACCTTCAGTAGGTCCTGGAGTCATTCTTAGTCTGACTCGAAAACCTTATCTTTGTATTTTGTGGAGTAACATCCGATGTAGCATGCTTCAAACAGCCGTCTCATTGCTGATGTCAAGATTGTTCATCTAAACTCCAGACGCTATGCAACCTTATGTCATTGAGATTGAGAAGTGCCTTGGGGGATTAGCAAAAGAAAATGCGGCATACATAGGACAAGAAAAACTCAGGGGTGAGTAGCCTGACCTGGTCACGTCCCAGCTGCGCACATCAGAACCTTATCCTTCTCATCCGAAC